ATAGCAATTTTGCAAGGTCCACGACTTCTTTACCATAAATACCTTATTCTTCAACAATTAAGAGTCATGTATACATGCGAACTTATTCAGATGGAACACACAGAAATCAAATTGACTACATCTGTGGGAAGACACAACAAAGAAGTTATCAGGAGAGGCAGGTCCCTGGAAAAGGACATCATCCTTCGTAAAGTGAAGGGGCATGGAAAAGGGGGCAGGCAGACCCTCGACAAGCGTGATTGACCAGCGGCGAAAACAACGGTTCAGACGTAAGAATGGCTAGGAGGAGGCACAGCACCAGGAGGGCAGTGTCTCCTCCTGATGCCCAGGGGTTGCTATGAGTACCAACAGTCAGGATGGCGCTGAATAGCTGTAACAATAACAACAGATCTTTTCGCCATCTTTTATCCAGAGGGGCCTTCAGCCCCCCCCCGAATGTAAATTTATTCTTTTTGCTTAAAACTTTTCATATAATAGCATACGATGAGGGGGAATTTCCAGTTCTCCAGTCCACCTGATGAGGGTCTCTTCTTTCCCAGTTTCATGTCTTTGGAAACCTTCTTCTCAGACCTTCTCTATCTTCTCAGTCTCGACTCTCAAACTTTCCTTTCCTGTCCAGAACAGAAAATGGTTTTTGTGGGATTTAAATAGGCAATTAAGCTTTGACTACTTGCCCCCCCATACTCTTGTTTTCACACCTCTCTAATCACACTTGTTTGTGCTTGTTCACCTGTTTGAAAACAGTTCTGTGTCTTGTTTCCTACTGCATCTTAGTATAAGGTGACAAGATTTTAACATTGGTAAAGCGGGACACCATTGATAAAACTCATATCCTGGCGAAATAGCCACACGGTAGCCGAAAACTGTATACCCTCGCTTGTCGTGCATTCTTTCCAAAAATCGGGACTTTTTAAAAAATGCCACAGGATGGGGGACAGATTGTTAAAAATCGGACTGTCCCGCCAAAAGCGGGACGTCTAGTCACCTCATCTTAGTGCCTAGTATGGCTCCAGCCAGGGCACAAGCATCCAAAGACTGCTTGCTGAAAAGAACAAAGCTTAAAGAATGCGACCTCCACGATCTCAGCTGTAAGCTTTATGTAGTAGAGCGGAGTCTTCAAATCCAATCCAACCCTGGCCCTTTGGAGTGAACCAAATCGATTTTATGGGCAATGTAGTTTTGTTTCACCACTAAAAGGGTAGAGACTAGAGACTGAACTCAAGTTGTTTCTTCGATGTATTTTTAAATCTGTTCACGTACTTGGATACCTGTTACTAGTTACAGAGATGGTTTTGTAAACATTTATTTCATAATTATTATAGTCATCCCTCTGAGTGGATCCCAAACCATTTAGGACACTTGTTTCCTTGTAGCCATAGGCTATCAGGTGCATAACATGGCTGGAAGCTTCCTAGAGAAGCAGGTGAACAGGTTCTTTTGATTTTGAAATCTCTAAGTAAGGTGAATGAAGGTCAGCATGAGCATTTGCTTTGTTTTGCACATCTGCTCTTTATTCCCACTCACTAAAATAAGTAAGAGGTTTTTTCCCCCACTAGGCATAGCAGATTCAGTACATTGTAAAGAAGATAATATAACCTAGATCTAGTTTATCTATCTAGTTTACTTTTTTAGCACTTGGGCAAGTAGAATTTAAAATATTACTTAACCTAAGTTTTATTATTATTTGATCAGTCAAACCATTTGTAACCTGGAAAAAAGCTGGAGAGGAAAATTAATTGTATTAATTTTTAGGTACTCTTTTATAAACCTTTTGTGCTATAGATATTTTCAGGAAAAAAATGGTCCATGTTTTGGTAATAAAGTTATAAAAAAAATCTTTGATTTGTTTTTTTCAAACATTCTCAAACTATTACTTTCTGAATAATTAGTTTATTCTAGTTGCTTCAATTTCAATGCCAGAATACCTTTTTAAATAAATGTATTTCCATCTTATTGTGAAATCTTGAGCCAAACAAGTAAGTCCGTTTTGCTTTGCGTTTTGTAAATCGCAACAGTAAACTCTGTAGTGAGCTGCCGCTTCCCGATTCTATTAATGCATTCAGAAAGAGCTTCTCATCGGGTCAAGTCAACGTCCAGAGCAATGAAAGAAAAAAGCATATTTCAAATGAAGCAACAAAAAGCAAATTCATCTTCAGTTGTACCACCCTTCCTAAAGAAAACAAGGTTAATACAATAAAATTAATGAAAACACTGATTTGCAATTTGGCATCAAATTCACTCTTTGAAAGAGAGTCCCAAAATTGCTTATATCTTACTTATTATGAAGTAAAAGCATAAGTGGAATGCCAGAATATAGTATTTTAAAGTAGATTTTCAACATATGATATAGTACAGGGAGGTTTAAAATCCAGACATAATTTAAAATATTTTTAGACACAAATATCTTCAATTTTGATTTAAATGTGAAACCGAAGGAGTGCTCCAAGCAACCAAACTGATTATAATAGTTGTGAAACATACATACTGGAGGTTATTATCCTAAGTAGAATCTGGAAGCATTCAGCAGTTTCTTTTCTTTTTTTACATTTTGATTGTGAACTGAGTGAAGGTTTACAAAACAGACGATCACTTTGGTATTCAGCAGTCGGTGCACACTTTGTACACACTCATCCATTGCCATCCCCGCAGAGGCCCACCCTTCATCCCAGTTCCTCACTGAGGAGGAATGCCTAATAGCTCATGATATTGCACATTTCTTCATGAGCTTAATTGCTGTCTGTAAATCCTCTTCAATAAAATATGTAATGCCTTTTGTTCACTACCTAGTTGGGTTGTGTATTTTCAGTTTGAAGTTTTTTGGGGAAAAAAGTCCTATTTAAAGTTTCGCAGGTTGGTGACTGCGAACCAGGTTTTGACAGCCATGATCCCGTTTGGGGCATCTGAATCTATGGTCCAAGAAGCTCTCCAGGCTAATGATGGAACCGCTGTAATAGGTCATGGCGAAAGAAATTTCAGCCAACATTTAAAAAATCTTCAAAAGCTGGGATGTCTCCTGGACACATAATTAGTGGGCCCGTTCAGATTTTTAGAAGTAAACGATTTTAACAGTCTTAAAAAGGCTTTGGGCAGGAAACTCACTTCTAATTATGATAATCTTTTCTCTGGGGTATCTCAGCAGGTCAGAGGCTGGGCAAAGAGAGCATTACAAGCCATTTTGAGGTACTGCCTATAAAGGCCTTCCCATTTAAAAAATCTTAATTTCAAGAATCACCATTTATTAGGGGGTATTCCTGACTGTGTTTATTCTGGAAAATTCATAGGGTGTGTATGTCTTTAATATAATTCTTTTATGTTGAATTGCCAGTCTATCCATCTGCAAGACTATTTTAAAAATCATGTTACTTTGATACTATCAGGTTGAGAATGGCACAAAAGACTGTTCGTTGTTTTTCAGGTACACATATGGAAAGCCAGTGAAAGGAGATGTAACACTGACTTTCTTACCTTTGTCCTTTTGGGGGGTGAAGAAAAACATTACAAAACATTTTAAGGTAACTTTAAAAGATTTCTGTAATTTATAAATAGGAAAAACTATGTATTTTTTCTAGAAATAAGATTTTGTTTTGAATTATAAAAAAAGTAGCCATTTAAGAAAATCAAGAGCTTCTCAGTATACCGAAAATGCACTGCCGTAGAGTCCGATTCTGACTCACAGTGACGTTGCGGGCTGAACAGAATGGCCTTTGTGGGTTTCTGAGGCTGTATCTTTATGGGAGTCGAAAGGCTTCTCTTTCTCATGAGGAGTGGCTGGTGTTTTCGAACAGCTGACCCCAACCCATACAGTTAATTCACCTACTTATTTAAAGCAATCCAATCATGAGACCAAAATACTTCATACTATTGTGACTGCTCAGATGGAACTCTTTTATTCTTGAGGTTTGAGTTGCTTTAAGAGAAATAAAATTTAACATTTTAATAAAACAGATAAAAGGATCTGCAAACTTCTCTTTTAATGATGAAGAGATGAAAAAGGTCATGGATTTTTCAGATGGGCATTATGACCACATGGAACTTTCTTCTCCTGGGCCGGTCGAAATCTCAGCCACAGTGACGGACTCACTCACAGGTGGGTAGATTTCGACGTCAGGGCTGGTTGTTTATGCAATTTTGTTCTATCCCCTTTCTTAGACTGATGCCTGCTTTGGGAACCATATTGCCTTTTCAAAGATGTCACTTAATGTGGACATTTCCATGAGCCTGGCTCTAACTTTCAGAACACTGTCACGAATGAAACTTGTTGTCTACGAAAGTCTCAATTCAGCCACCTTTGACTGCTATTTGCATCCTTCTCATCCTCATTTCTGCTCTTAAGACTTTTCCGCCTGAGAACCACACGGGAATCCAAGACCTCCCTGCCTTCGAGTCACTCTGTGGAAAGGCCTTCATTTCCAGCGAACCGTCTTTCCTTTCATTGCTTAGCAGCCCGAGTCCCTCTGCCTCCTGGAGAGTTTTCTCTTAATGAGAAAATACAGGCTAATTCCTCGGGCCTTTCGGTTTCTGTGTCGGCAGCTTTCACCAAAAGGTACTCCTTGCAGTGGCACAGGGGCACTGATGGTGTCCAGGAGGGGTCAGTAATTTGGGAGTGAGGAAAATGTGCTCTGATACCTCTCTGGACCTTCTTGACGGTAGAAGCTTTTGGTAAGATATTACTCTTACTTTCTAAATGATGTCATTACCCAAACAGGTATCTCGAGGAATGCAAGCTCCAATGTGTTTTTCAAGCAGAATGATTATATCATTGACTTTTTGGATTATGCTAATGTCTTGAAGCCATCTCTCAACTTCACAGCCACTGTAAGTTTGTAAGCTTAATTCTGAGATTAAGCTGGTATTAATACTGGTATGCTTAATAATTAATTCCTTTCGCATACATACAAGCCTAAATACAGACATGTACACATGTAAATATATTTAAGATCAAGGGGGGAACAGACCTAGGTGCAAATAATTATAGGTTTGGTAGTAGGGTGGCAGGTAGACATTGGGCCTCCTCAGGAGCTCCTTGCTCAGCTAAATGGTCATTTCATGATATCTACTTTCCCGACATGATCGCTGAAGACAGATGTGTGCATAAGAAAATGTGGTGAAGAAAGCTGGTGGTGCCCGGCTATCAAAAGATATAGCGTCTGGGGTCTTAAAGGCTTGTAGGCAAACAAG